AATACTGCCTTGAATGTTCACCAGGATTGTTTTTCTAAAGCAGTACTGTCATGTGCCTATACAACAATGACACTAGCCTGGTAGTTACTCTAAGGAGCTGACTTTTTCTCTTTTTTTTCATATTAGAGAATCGGGGATAAAAGGGGCATTTTATGTGAGAATCTGGAAAAGAAGAACTAGAAAGTTCATTAAAAATCAGCAAATAGCTCATTTTTAATCCCCACGTGTCCTTTTAATAGAGCCAATTCAACTCTATGAGGGCAGGTGAGGGTTTTTCACTGCACTTAATGATATATGATTGCCTCATTCTGTCTTATATCCCAGCACACTGGATGTCAACTCCTGGAAGTTCCTAAGAATTCTCAGGTCCACTTAGCCATAAACCCAAATGAAGACCAGACTGGATAAAAAAGATGACTAGGGTTTCTATCCATCTATCAGTCATCCCAAAATGCTACAAGAAAATGACTTTGGATGAGGAGGCAATGGGTGCTTGCTTCCATCCATCTACTCTATTTTCTGCATCACCTATAGAGAATAGTGCTAGTTTAATGTTGTGGGAAATACCTAAATAAGCTCAATTAAATATGTCACTCATAAATTCATGTTATTTCATGTTCTCGTGCGTTAAGAGCCTATCCACATTGAAGCATGGCGCTTTCTTACCAGCAGAGTCAGTGTGAGAAGCTACATGTGTTGCTTTTAGTGTAAAATAAATTATTCTGTCAAAAAAAAGTTAAGTGAAGATAGAATCATCCTCTTGAGTTTCATTTGTCCAGTAGGCCAGTTCTTCTCCCTTTGGGTTATCTGTAGAAGCAGCCAATAAGATTATTTCTTTCCTCTGATCTTGTATCAGGGGCAAAAAAAATCCAACCTCCTCTGGCTGATGCAACATTCAAGGAATTATAAATTGGTCTGTCTTGTATGGACTTTTGCTTTTAATTTTATTTCTGATTTACAATGGTTGGATGTAGCCAATAAAACAACTCTGAAGTGGTAATAAAATATTCACCCTCCAAAGTTTTATTAATTGTGCTAAATATATAGGTTGCATTCTAAACAATCATAATCAAGAAGAAAAATGGAGTCATTACATTTGCTGTAAGTTATCTGTTATTAGGGTTAGGCATTTCTGTTGCTAAGACTTAATTTGCAGATGGGGTCTGTATAAACAAAGACCATCACAAATCCTCCTTCTTAAATTAATTGATTTTTGTTTAAGCACATTTTCCTACAGAAATATTTTGTAATTCTAAGATTGGTATTAGAAAAGCAAACCATAGCCAAAAGTTTGGGCTATAAAAACAAACTGGCTACACAAAAATACAAAAAAATTATTATATTTTAAAACATTTTATGTATTAGAAAATCAATTTAAGGAAAGGGTATATGAAACTCTTGGTAGTTCCTTTATTCAGATTTAGGGTGCTTAAGTGTTCTCTTAAGAGCCATTTTTCAGAGAGGGCTGAAGGGAAATGAGACAGAAAGTGAATCAGAAGTAGAAGAATCTTCAAAGTGTGACCAGTAATACATATAACAAGTTACCTCCAGTTCAGATTTGGGTTATTTTCAGCTTACTGCAGAAAAACAAATGTTCCATAAGAAATCACCAGAGACCAGTGACTTCTATGTAAATGGTAAGTTCTTCATCATCACCAAAATGCTATAAAGTGAATTTGAAGAATGAAAACAGTGTTTTTAAAAATACTGAAGCAAAATCAAATCATATACACCTATTTTTATCAGACATTACTGCACACACACACACACACACACACACACACACACACATTCTTCCTAATTCTCCCGGTGTGGACTGAACACTGATCCACCTCTGTCTTCTCTGAAAACACTGATCAGAAGCTAAGTATTGCAGGTAGGACAACAGAAATCGTCTCCTTAAAAACTCAAGATTCAATCTACAGAATGGCACTCAAGGGCCTGCATGACTTTGCTAAGGGCACTTTTTCTTCTTTATCTTGTACCTCATCTCTCCACAATTCTTGTCCCACACTGTTGGACTCCTTATTCCTGGTGCTTTCCTTCAAACAGCGATTTCTCTCTCTCTCTCTTACCTTCTCCCTTGGGGATCTCATACTCCCTTAGGGCTTTAATACACAGTATTAGTTCTCCACTCAGGAATCCCACTAGGTTCAATCTTACTTCTAAACTCTGGTTCCATATTTCCAAAGGTCTGCTAGATTTCATCTGTGTGTTCAAAACAGATTTTAAAATGCTGTGAATGAAATTGACCTGGGCACTATATTTTCTAGTCAATAAACTGCCTTTTCTGCAGTTTATTGACTAATAGTGGTGGTACTTGAGTGGTACCACCATTTTCTCAGACCCTCAGGACTGTGACTTTGAATATGTGACTATTTGTTGTCCCTCACATTTTATTATTTGCCAAGTCCTTCTGATTTAATCACTGCAATCTTCCCTCCTTCCATCAGTGATCATAGCTGCTGCTTCCAAAGAAGTCATTCCGAATGAATACTGCTCCACTTTGCTATTCCATTGTTCATAATTGGCAATGGAGCCCTGTTGTCAGAAGTCTACTTTTCTTTGCTTGACATCCAAGAGCCTTTGTTACTTCAACAAAACTTGCTTTTCTTCAGTCTTGGAACTCACCTCCTTCCCCTGCTGTAATACATGCTGTGTTAAATTGAATTCCTTATGGTTTCCTGAATTCACTTCATCCTTTCCATCTCTATGTAGCTCATTCTGCTTCTATGTTTGGACCATTCATTCCTCCTTGCCTGAAGGACACAACCAGATTCTGATCATTCTTCAAGAATAAGCACAAATTCCACCTGGTTGGTTAAGCTTTTCCCTGATTTACTGAGTTGACAGTGATCAACCTTTCCTAAACTTCTGCAATACTTGATCTCTTTCTAAACTTTGGTGTGTTTATAACTCTCTTAAATTATTTCTCCTTATGTTCATGTCTCTTCTCTCCTACTTGACTGTAGCCAAATTATTTGACTTATTTACCTCTGAATTTCTCCACATCACTTTGTAGAAGAAACAGATGGTGCTCCTCTCATGGGATTTATTGTTGGTAGGAGAGACAAACGCTTTCATGAGTAAGTATGATATACTTAATAATGAATGCTGAGTGACCAAGGAGTATGGAAATTATTTCTTTTCTTACCTCTCTGTGGGAGCATGAAGACATTATGTAGTGTACATGTTACTAAATGAAAACTGAAAAATTCTTAATAGTGATATTTTCTTCCAGATGTTCAAGTGCCGTATATGGCATAACAAATAGTCTGCAGATGGGATATTTTTAACACAGAAATAACAGTAGTACAGAAATATACATTTTTATGAACTTGGTTGGAAATTCATTCATTATTTCAAATTGAAAGTGGTTTAGATTAGGCTTTGCTCATTTAATTAAGAATTGACCTGCTGTAACAAAATTAACTTTGTTTTATTTTGCATACTTTTTCTTGTGGGCTGGGTTAGTTTTCTAAAAATTCCAATTCTTTATTTTGGTGGAGTGGGAGATGGAATGACTATTCCTTTTTGCTTAAAAATTATTTTTCTGCTGTGTATTGTTTAGGACTGATTTTCTTTTTAATTTCCCGAAATAGCCACTGCTTCAGGTTTTTCATGCATAGCATCCATGACTTAATTTTGGCAATTCTACTTTTGATGAATGGAACTCTATTCTTATTGTATTCAGCCTTTTATATAAGATAATGGTCTGGAATCTGCACAGCAGGCATATATTAGATTGTTTTTGCACTAGAATGGACTGAATGGTTTCCAATTTGAGTTTGTAATTTAGAAGTCACATTGACAAGACTTTGCAAAAATCTGCATAAGTCTCTAGCAAGACTGAATCTTCAAGAGATCTACAGGACTATTGGGAAAAGGATAAACAGAAGCTGATAATACTGCTGCAGAGTGTGAATGCCTAGTATGTCACCAAAATCTCTCTTTGGGGTGATGCATTTATTTATGCTAAAGTACTTATTTGCATTCACTGAATTCCAGCTCATAACATAATGCCCTGAGTATTTATTAAGAAGCAACATAATTTCTTGCCTAGTCAGTGAAGCATTGTTAACTACATTGTTTCTTGTGGTTTGTATCACTTATCAGGAGATTTGTAGTCAGGTCTGAGTGAAATTTTCATGTTCATCCTAATCAAAACTGTCTATGAGAATTCTCAGAAGTGGCCACCAGTCACCTGGGCCACATCATCAGTTGCTAAAAATAGTTGCAGATGTGTCATTTGTTGATGCTCTATGAATTTAATTTTAAACGTTTAATAAAAATTTATAGTAAATGTTGCCTGTTTTCTTTCATTCTTTCTTCCTTCTATTTCAACAGTCAGATGTCTAAGATATCAAAGGCAACTTAAATAGATACAATTTTATTGACTCTCTGCACATTCTGATGTGATGACCGGAACCCTCTCCTCAACCCAAGGTGGCCAATTTTAAAGTTTTTCTTGCTCTATAAGGACATTCTGTCCTTAGCTAATCCTATACTTGTTTAGTACCTGTTGAAATTCCTAGCAGCTGACTTTGGTGTATTTATGATAAAATGTTAGTTCTTTCTATTTTATTATTTTTAATGGAGAAAATATGTTTTACTCTTTAAAATATGGATCCTTTTACCTATCCCATTATCAAGAGAAGTGATTTTTCTCTCATGGGTAAAAATGCTTTAGAAGACTATTCCCTGATAGCTTTTCTGGCAGATGGTCTAATGACATTAAAAGCTGCACTAATAGATGTTTCTATAAGGAATACTTTCTCCAGAATAATAACCCCCTAAAATCCCTCACTCTTTTGCTTCACGTAATAAAACAGTAAAAAACATTTAGTTTAATAAGGCAACAGACTTTTGAACTAGTCTCTACAGTTGGCTGAGAGAATATTCTTGCATTAAATTAAGAAGGTAGGCATACTACAGCATAAAACACACCATATGGTGTCATAATTGGTGATTAAGAAAGCCAGCGTAAAATGAAGTATTACCTTAGGGTCATGTATTCCAGAAAGTTCTTCATAGATCTTCTCACCTACCATGACAGCAGCCAAGTTTGCTGTATATGTAGAAAGGCAGAACATACAGAAAATGGCCCAAAGATTCATTAGAAATCTTCCAGTCCAGCATTTTGGAGGTTTTATGGCTGCTGTTCTACCAAACAGAAGGGCATAACAGACATTCAAGGCTGAAGAAAAAGAGAAGACTTTACTTCTATTCCTCCCCTTGGGTGTCATGCCAAAGGGGCTCTTCCATTCATACAGAGTGAGAAAGATGGCAGTGATGTGAAGAGCCACAAAAATTCCCAGCCACATTGTCCAGTGGAGTGGCCACATGAAGGCTCCAATGGGAGCTGCTGTGTCTCGGGTCCTCACTAAAATGCCCAAGCTGGTGGAGAAGAAAGGGCTGGTGAAATCTATCACCTGACTCCTTGCAGTATTGATGCTGAAGGAAGTAACTGCCATGTGGGCAGTCCCACTCAGGAGATCACCAACCAGCCCCGTCCAGTGACCATTTTTCCAGGCTCCATACTTTCCATCTCCAACAATGTAGAGGTCAAAGTCAAAGTTCAGGTCTTCTGCTAGCTGTTCCAGCAGATCAATGCAATACCCATAGCAGCACTTCTTGAATTTGATTGGCACTGTATCATTACTGCTATGGAGGGTACTAAATAGACTGTCCAGTATGGAAGAGTCATTAGTCATCGGGTCTAGACAGAGTTGGCCAGCTGGGCATAAGCCTTCATCATCTACCTCCCTTGTGAAGACAAATGGGTGCTCAATCAGGGTCACCACTCTTAAGTGTAGCTTACTTGGGTGCTGGAAGTGGGTTTTGTGCCTCTTGGTCTGCTCTGGCCATATTCCATAGTCCATGACAATTTTCCCCTGCTGCCAGCTGCCCAAGCGAGTCCACATTGGTTTTCCCATAGGGTCATGTTGCAGATTCCAGATGAAAAAGTTGTTTTCTGAACTGATGATGGTGGAACCTTTCACTTTAATGGAACCACTGAGGCCTCTGAAAGTGGTGTTGGCCAGAAACCTGGAGCAAAGGCAAAAAGGAAGAGAGGTTGAGGCCAAAGGCAAGAAGCACTGATCATCTTTGCTTCTCTGTCTTAATAAAAAGAAAACATTTTTGACATTGGTTTTACAACAAATCTTTTAATTTATAGTTAAGAGATGTGTATATTGTTTTCTGTTGTAAACTGCTACATATTTTTACAGCTTTCTAAATTTATGGAGGTTCTGAAAAATCTTTAACATATCCCATTTCAACTGTTCAGTATATTTAATCTCAGTGAAATCTGCTCAATAAATATTTTTTGGTGTGGGAATGAGTTTTAATAAGTATACACACACTTTTATAATTGCATAAGAATTACATTCACAGCATTAGGGAATAGCCAAATCTTGTTACCAATGTTTCTCCTTACAGAGTGGAAATAATTAGCATATCTCTCCTTAAGGGGCCAGTCAAAGCTGCATGTTGGATACCATCCATGGAACAAAGAAAAAGATGATAAACACACTTGGAGTTCTCAGGATAGCCTCAGGCTACCCTCCTTTGTCATTAGATGAAAACAATTGGCCCTGGATTTAGAGAGAGCTTCTGCCAGCAGATAAAGAAAGGAAAATTACTAACTAAATATTTGTTTATAACCCTATGAGTTAGGGGATTTTCAATATATATTGTGATACGGACTAGACAAGAAAATGTTTGGTACTAACCTGTCTTTCTTAAGCCTGGGATGATAGGACAAGCAGAGGTAACATGCTTAAATTTCTGGTATCTCTGTACTCTCAATTGTGATCTCATGTTAGAATAAAAGTCCAGACGTTTTCATCATATATATCTTCATTTGAATACTGGCCCAGCCACCTGCTAGTATTGACCGTGGACAGTTTATTCTACCTTCGGCAAAATGGGGAAAATAACCCTTCCTCTATTACAAGGGTTGGAAATAATGCATATAAAGCAAGTAGCATACTTTCTGATATGGAACAAATATTCTAGATATGGAACTGTTATTTAATATCATTCAAATTTTATTTTAATCAATTTTGTTTTAATCAATGCCATCCCCAAGTCACTTTTCCAAGTCTTTTATTAGAATTTTTCTTATTGGACAACAAATACTGCATTATGACAAGCCATAGAAGTGGCTCAAGACACAGTTCTAATGAAAAGGGATTAAGTTGAAATGTAGAATGTAACACAGTACGTATTTTGAGGAACCAGAAGATTCAAGACAAGATTCTCAACAAAGCACATTAACCAATTTCTTGTCACTAACACTGCTTCATAATTTACAAATGCAAATAGAGGTATTAAGAAATTAGTTGCCACAGAAGGGACATGGAAAAATCAGAAAGTATGAAATATGTACTAATTTTCATTAGAGATGAATGTAAATCACTTTGAAGATGCTACTGTTTCTAAATGTGATAAAACTATTCATTTTGGTAGATTGCATGTAATAGCAATTACTCATGCTAGTGTTCCCCAGTGGGACTCTAACTTTAAAATAAATTTTATTTTGTAACAAGTAATGAAGACTCAGCTACATAGACTTTAAAAGAGTTTTCTGCTTCTTTAGACAAGCAGGGAGCCAAATCATTAAAATATACAGATTAATCAATTGATAATTACCTAGATACTATAAAGGAAGGGTGATTATGATTGTATTTCTGATAAGAAATCTAAACTACTTTTAGATATCTTAAAACATACAAATTTGCTGACATGACCTAGGGAATAAAAAAAGGTGGTAATAAGTAGGTTAATTTCATTTGGCCGATTTTGTGATTGGGAAGTAAAGTGAAAGTTGTAGAAAGAGGAGTCTTCATTTTTTAAAGAATATTTGGGGCTTAGTAATCATAGATTTTTAACTTAAGAGATTTTGTCTAAATATATACTTAAAACATCTCAGAAAAAAGCATTAGAAGTCTGCAGAAATTTTTCACAGATTATTCAGCCTCCATTTCAGTAAAGCCTGTTTCTCATTGTTAGAGTTAACACTTAGAATGGCCATGGCAGAAGGACAATGCTCAGTATCATTGAGGGAGGCATTTGTCAAAGAAAGCAAATTAGTCAGGATTTGAATGTTTCTAACTTTCCTAGCCCAGAAAGCCTAGTTCTTATTTCAATGTGCAATTGACACTGAGAAATATGGCCCCAGAGAATCCCCATTCATGACAGATTATTTGTGTCTATTTTATTTCTGGTCTTAGAGCAAGGATAAATTAAAAATGACCTTATTAAAGCTTCTAGTTATACTTATCCTGACTGAGTTCTTTATAAAGTAATGACAATGCATAGGCCAGTATGAATGCTTGTCCTACTAGTTAACAGATTAAAAGGTCAAAATTCTGCTTTTGCCTTAATTGAATTCTACCATTTTCCTTTCTATCTTGCCTAGGACTTTTCTTGAATGAACAAGGAATAATTTCGTTGGCAAGATAAAGTGATATAAATATTTGGTACTTTCTTAGCACTTATGGTTACAGAGATGAAAGACAACCTCGTTGGTCTTGAGGAACTCAAAGTCTACTGTGGGGACAAAGAAAGTAAATGAGCAATTCAAACAATGTGGTAAGTGTGATGAGAGAGGTAAAGCTGATGCTAGTGGAAGGGAGACCAGAGAATCTGTACATTCTATTCTAGGGGTCCAAGGAAGGCTTCTTAGAGGAGAAGGCAACATAGCCACATCTTAAAGAAGAATTACAGTAGTCCAGGAAAGAGAATCTGGAAAATGACACTGTCAGCTCATTGAGACATGTATAAAGACCAGAGATAGAAAGTATAAGCTGTGTGACCATAAGGTGAGAAATAAGGCCAGAGATGAAGGTAGAAAATGAGTGACATTAGATCTGAGACCACAAAGAAGGTAATAGGGAGCCTTTGAGGGGATTTTGTCTAGGGAGGGACATAATCATTAGATTTGATTTAGAATGTTTTTTCTCTACTTGGTAGCAATATAGGACATAGTATGGAAGAAAGAAGTTGAATATAATTCTACATGTGAAAAATAATGCTGTTTCTTGTTTCTCTCACTTCCTGTCTGCCTCAACCTCTGCTTGTATCACAAGTAGCAGAAGTGGGGAGGAGATGGTGTGACAGAGATGTATTTAGTCCTTGAAAAGAAAAAGGAGCCAAATGATCAGGGTTGTGCTTAGTTCACAAACTATATTGAAAATGTGTGAAACTCAGCTTGACAAAAGGTCACATAAATAAGACCTGCAGAATTTAGTAGAATATACACTTGATGTAATTCCAGAGAGCACTGTGGGCATGAAAAATGAGTGGAGTAATCTTAAATTATTTTAATAGATATTTAGAGACTGTTTCCAACTTCTCAGGCCTGAATGTGCACTCTAAAAAACTCTAGATTCAGTAATTTTACGTAGAAAGATTAAGAAGATGGAAAATAAAGAAGAGGGTATTAAGCACAACAATCTGATTGAGAGAATGTAGAAAAAATAGAACATAATATAGGGAAAACAGGTTGCAACTAGTCTACAGAGGCCTCTCACACCTGCTTTATGAGATTGGATTTTATTTTAATAGTAAAAAGGGAGCCATGAAGATTTCTGAACAGTGTAATGACACAACCAGAGGTCTGCACTAGAACTAGTGACCTGGATGCAAGTAAAATGTTATATAGCAAGGAAGAGATGGTGTCCCAGAGACCACTTAGAAGGATATTACAACACCTTTGTCACTGTGCAGGGGTCTGAATCAATCCAGGAGTGAGGACATAGTTCAATATTCTGCCTTGCACATGGTAATGCTTAAGAAAGCAGTCTAGCAAACCTCCCAAGATACTATTCTGCTTAAAAGAATGAGGCTCGTTTGTTAATTTTACTTTATTAAAAGCTCCCAATTATGTTGCTAGTGAAGAATAAGTGCTGATTTGTATAGCAGCTGAGGTAAAAATTTTCACTTTAAAAATTACTGAATATGATTTTGAGACAGTTCAAAGTACAAGCATGATCAATATTTAATGTTTATGATCTATTGTAGAAGCCATATTTGCACACAAAATCTTTACATACTAATGAAAGAATTTTCATATTTATTAAAACAAATAAGCAAAGATGTTACCAAAACAATACAGCATCCACTCACATTTATCCATTCAACAATACTCACTATATGCCAGGCACTGTTCTGGAAGCTAGATAGATAGTGAATGAAGACAAAAATCTATGCAGCTTATATGTAATTTATATTTTGTAGAAAGCGACACAAAATATATGCTAAATAGGAAATATGTATAAATACAAAGGAAGAAAAGTAAAGTAGGGAAAACTCTCTCTGACAAGATATTTTAAGTAAAGAACTGAAGAAAGGGAAGAAACTAGGAATAAGGAAATGTAGGTAAAGAGCATTCCACATAGAGGGGAAAAAGTCCCATGTCATTGAAGTGGGAATGTGTCTGGCATGTTTGAGGAGATGATGAGGGTAGACTAGTTGAAGGTGAGGTCAGAAAAAATTGATAGGGTGTTGGGATTGGGAAAAATAGGCTTTTATAGGTCATTGTTAAATTTTTTTTCCTATGTGTGACTGGTAGATATTGAATGAAGTGTGATGATTTATGCTTTAACAGGATTGTCACATTGCTGTGTTATGAATGGAGTAAAGTACAAGGAAGAAGCAGAAAGACTAGGTAGAAAGCTGCTTCACACATCCAGATAAAAGGTGTTGATGATGTGGACTGAGAGGGTAGCTATGGTATTGGGGAAATTAGTTGGATCTTCATGTTTTGAAGCTGGAATTGACAAGATTTGCTTGCATGGTTGTTAGGGAAAAAAAGAGTCAAGAATGTCACTGAAGTTTTTGGTCCTGAGCAACAGAAAGGATAGAGTTACCTTTAGTCAAAATAAAGGAAACTATACAAGAATTAGGCTTGAGGTAGGGGGGAAGTACCAGAGGCTCAATTTTGTGAATGGTAATTCTGAGATGATTTATAAATATTCAAATGCAGATGTCAATGTGGATCACCTGGAGTTCAGGAATGAGTTCTATGTTGGCGATATTAA